AGGAAAACTGTTTCAAGGCGGGACACACGGGCAAGTAGAAAGTTGGAGCTCGGACGCTACTTCTCGTCTATCGACTAGTCCCTGTTAAACCGCGCAGATTCTTGCTCGGCCAAGTTGAGCTTGTTTGTAGACACGATTCACATCTGTGTGGATCACATCATGCCGTCAAACACCAAAGAATTCACGTCAACGATGCGCCATGGATCACAGCAGAGTTCAAAAACCTTGTCAGGCTACGCCAGCAAGCATTTAACAATGGAGACAAGGAGAGCTACTTTCTCTACCGTAACGCCGTTAATCGACAGCGTAAATCGCTCCGCAACAAGTACTTCGCCTCAAAAGTTGACAATCTTAAGTCCACCAGGCCCTCGCTTTTTTTTCTCATGATCAATGATCTCAAGGTTGACGCTCTCACATGGAAGTATGTGGACGATACGACAATTTCCCAAACCATACCTCGCGGCTCCCTGGGAAATGCGCCACACGCTGTTACTGCCGTGGAGGACTGGTCTCGGTCCCAGCTGATGCAGCTAAGTGCCGACAAGTGCAAGGAGATGGTTATCGACTTTAAGAAGATCTCTCATAACTTCTCCCCTCTCGAGGTAGACGGAAACGAGCTTTCTGTCACTGACTGTGCGAAGATAGTAGGTGTTACGATATCCAGTGACGTGAAATGGAACAATCGCATTGTAGATTGCATAAGAAAGCAAATAAGCGCCTGTATTTCATTAATTGTTCTCTTGAAAAGGGCTCGTGTAAAAGCAAGTTTTCGAGATTCGTATAATAGATTTTAGGGACGTAGCGTGAGATTTTGAAGGTCTACGTAAAGGGAAAAAAAGTTAGAAGGCCGAAGGCGCTCAAAGTAGGGGGATCTGGGGACATACTCCCCAAAAAAGTTTTCATTTTAGGGACTCGGAAATGCTATTTCCTGCGTTATCCATAGGACATTTTAATAAATACGAAAGAAAATGCAAATGGTTAGAATATATGTTACCCATTCCTAATGTTTTCGCTGAGGTACAATGTTAACGAAAAAAAAAAAAAGGTAAAACAGTGACGCCATCATGGAAATTACAAGCGAAGGATCATCTGTAGCCTGCTTGACAGCAGTCTTTCCTCGTCTTCCCGGCGAAACATCCGGCTAGTGATGAGAAGGGAGGAAAGACGGCTGTATGGGCTAGCTAAGGGCGAGACAGGGATTTAAACAGACTTGAGAGGTTAAAGTTTAGCCCAAACAACATATTCTGTAAAATCGAAGGGGGAATTGCGTTGTGTTATTCACTCAGTATTTTCGACGGAAAAGTGGTAGTCTTCTTCTTTTTTTAAGTTTCGTCCAAAAAGTGGGAAGGGGGAGGGGGCACGGGCAATCCTTCCCCCCCACTCCTAGTACCCTTTTCTCATCGGTCAGCAAGCCACATTGGTAACTTAACTCGTGTTTTAGTAGACAAATTTCTTCACGTGTACGACTTACACTGTACAGATTATATTGTGCAAAGACTCCACACATTTTCTCAGATCGGATTTTTCCGTCGTTGGCACTTAGTGATAGCTAGAACTGGTAATATTTGTAACAAAACCTAGCAATCTTTTACTAAAATGATGCTGAGAATAATAATTGTATTTAGTTAAAAGTCGCCCTTTAAAGTAGTAGCCTCCTTAATGGTAATGTGCTTCTTTCCGTTTGTTTTTGTTTTCTTTTGATTTTTTTGCTTGCTGTTTGTTGGTTTGTTTGGTTGTTTTTTTTTTTTTTGTTCTGAGAGCCAGATCGAAAGAATAGGTCAGGTAACGTTGAAAAACAAGACCCGCCTCTCCCTCCTCCCAAACAAATACCTTATTGAGTCGCCAGCAAACCAATAGAAATAGTAAACAAACTGCTGGTAAATGATAAATACGATGACTTTGCGGTTAAAATTTAGCCACTCTGAATTAAGGTCAAGTAATGTATCGTTTGTGTCTGAAGCGGCCCTTTATATATTTCCATCTTCCCCCCCCCCAAACAAAATACAACCCCACGCACCACCCCCACCCCCCCCCCACACACATACTTTATTATTATTATTATTATTATTATTATTATTATTATTATTATTATTATTATTTGAATTTTTGAATTTTAGAAGTTGACAGTTTTTTTTTATTGAAATGAAATGTTTTTAATTCGAAAAAATTTTTCTTAGTTAAATTAACTTTTTTTTAAAGCTAAATTAAGTGCTTTTTAAATCGACAGGAATTGTAAATAGTGTTTTTGAATGAATAGTTTTTTCTTTTTTTTAAGCGAATTATTTGTAAAAAGGATTTTAAATAATAATAATAATAATAATGAAATAATAGACAATTTTATTTAAAAACTATTAAAATCCTATTTACAATTAATTAGCTTAAAAAAAAGAAAAAACTATTCATTCAAAAACACTATTTACAATTTCTGTCGATTTAAAAAGCACTTAATGTAGCTTAAAAAAAAGGTAATTAAAACTAAGAAAATTTTTTTCGAATTAAAATAATAATAATAATAATAGTAATAATAATAATAATAATAATAACAATTATTATTATTATTATTATTATTATTATTATTACTTCTGTATGGCGGAGGCGGCGGCTGCAGGTCGGTCGCTCGCTGGAAAACCAGGAAGGCTAAAATGGACTGATAAGATGAATCAAGATTTACTAGAATGCAGGGAAAAAGCCTTAAGCTTAAAAAGCTCAAGCAACCCGCCATGTTACCAGAACGGACGCAAGAAAGGATATATGCGCATTTTGAAAGATCTATGGGATGACGTGGGATACGTGAACTTGGGGTTATCAGCTCAGAATCTTCGCGACCACGCAGCAGCGATAACGGATGAAAACTCACAAATAAGTGTTAGAGGCGACTCTTCAACTGTTCTAGACGAAACAGAAGAGGTTGGTGCCTCTATGTTGTCACAAACCGAGGGTCTCGAACCCGCCCAATGCGAAGGTGAAAATTTATCAAACGTGAATGTGGTCGAAGGTTCGAATTTGCATATTTCTTCCGACATTGCTGATCAAAGAGCTCCCCAGGGACGGACCGCTACTTGCAAGGATCAAAACACCAAAAATCAAATCAAGCCAAATCTGCCTGATTATGATGTGCTTCCCTCCGAAACAAAGAACAAAACTTGGGGCAGTATTAGTTACGCATGTTTCTGTAATACTGTCAACGATGTTTACGATGAAATCGTCCACTACAGGAGGAATATATTCAATGTTCCATCGGGTCGCGCAGGGAAGAGTTTCATTGAAGAATTAACCTTCTGGATTAAGCAATTTAATTCAGACTCTGACTTGAACTCGGTCGCTCTTAAAGCATTCATGGTGCTCCCAACTTTGATTTTGCAAAAACCATCCGCTACTTCCAAAAGCAAGGAGCATAGTGAAGCAATAGAGCGTCGATTAGCACTCTGGAAACAAGGGGACATTGATTTGTTGCTTAAAGAAGTGAGGTTCTTTCAAGGGAAATTTGTGAATTCCAAGAAACCTAGAAAGGTTGAAGACATATCCAAAGCCTTCTCAAAGCTGGTTCTGCAAGGAAAATTGACAGCTGCTATGAAACTCCTAGATAACGAGAGCTCGTCCGGTCTGCTCGACCTATCGCCAGATGTCCTGCAAGGGCTACAGGACAAACACCCACAGGCAGCTGATATCGCAGAGGAGAGTTTGTTACATGGCCCAATTGATTATATTCCGCCAAATGTTTATGACCTCATAGACGAAGAATCGATCTACAACTCGGCAAGTAAAACCAAGGGCTCAGCCGGACCATCTGGAATGGACGCAGAGCTGTATAAGAGAATCCTGTGCTCTAAGAATTTCAAGACCGAGGGCAAAATATTGAGAGAAGAGCTAGCCGTGTTCACAAGAAATCTGCTAAGGAAATCGTACCACCCATCCTTACTTGAAGCTTTCACGTCCTGCAGGCTTATCCCGCTGGATAAGAACCCGGGAATCAGACCAATTGGTGTTGGAGAGGTACTGAGGAGAATAGTGGGGAAAACGGTCAGCGGTTTCTTAAAGGAGGAAATAAAAGAAGCGGCGGGTCCCCTACAAGTTTGCGCTGGTCATAACGCAGGAGCGGAGGCTGCGATCCATGCAATGAGTCAAGTGTTTGTTGAAGAAGGAACAGATGGAATATTGCTAATTGATGCTAGTAACGCTTTTAACCAAATGAATAGGTCAGCGGCCTTACACAATATCCAGATCATGTGCAAAGAAATGGCGCTCTATGTGATTAACACATATAGAAGCCCATCTAGACTGTTTATTTGTGGGGGAGGTGAAATACTTTCTCGAGAAGGCACCACACAAGGAGATCCGCTAGCGATGCCATGGTATGCACTTAATACATCCATAATGATACAGAATTTGAGGGATCATTGCCCATTGGTTAAACAGGTGTGGCTTGCAGACGACTCAGCTGGAGGAGGGAGTATAGTGCACTTATACAACTGGTACAGGCAATTGAGTAAGGAAGGACAAAAGTTTGGTTACCTTGTGAATGGGACAAAGAGCTGGCTTATTGTGAAGTCTAGGGAACTAGCGGAGGAAGCAAAGAGGGTGTTTGGAGAGGAAGTCAACATAACGACTGAAGGTCAGCGCCATCTGGGAGCAGTTATTGCGTCGCAAGAATACAAAGATCAGTATTGTGAGGAGAAGGTTCGTGCATGGAAAGAGGAAATCGAACGTCTCTCTGAAATAGCGAAGAGCCAGCCCCATGCGGCGTATATTGCTTTCACAAAAGGCTACAAGTCGAAGTTCACCTACTTCATGCGCACGATTGAATCGTTTGAAGATTATGTCGATCCAATCCAGGAAGTGATTGAAGATTTACTACTCCCTACTTTGTTCGGTCAATCAGAGCCTCTCCCTAACGAGGTGCGCAGACTTGCTACCTTAGCAACGGGTCAAGGGGGTCTAGGCATTCCTGATCTGAAATCCGAGGCACCGCAGCAGTTTGCTGCCTCGAGACTAATAACCACCGCCCACGTAGATTCTATTACATCACAGAGTTCCATCATGGTGCCAGGAGAAAGATCTACGGAGGAGCTAAAGAGGCATCAACAATCACTTAAGAGAGCAAGTGCCAAAGAGAAAATGGATAGCATTGATTCAAGCCTCTCCCCAGGCCTGCTGCGTCTGGTTAATCAATCGAGGGACAAGGGCGCAAGTTCTTGGCTGAATGCGATGCCTCTCGCAGACAAAGGTTTAGCCCTCAACAAGCAAGAGTTCAGAGACTCGCTACGCTTGCGTTATGACTTACCCTTAGTCGATTTACCAAGTCATTGCATATGTGGGGATAAATTCACCGTTAGTCACGCCCTCTCTTGTAAAAAAAAGGGGGGGGGTTTGTAGCGCAGAGACATGATGGTGTACGGAACTTGTTAACGACATTCATCGACAAGATCTGCAATAATGTCGAAATCGAACCACGCCTTCAACCCCTGGACAACGAGCG